GTTGTTATGTGCCGTCGAGTCGGACCCAACTCATAGCCACCCCTCCTTGGGTTTCCAAGGCAGTGTCACTACAGAAGTAGATTGTCCAACCTTCTTTCCAAGAAGTGGCTCGTGGATTTGATCCACCAGCCTCTGGTTAGTCAAGTGCCTTGGGAACTATGCTACTAGAGCTCTCATATATGTATTAATCTCAGGAAAATGTCTCACATAGCTATAGAGGCTGGCAAGTCCCAAGTTCATGGGCCATATGTCAAGTTGGAGGTTTTTTCCCAACTCAAGGAGCTGCAGGAACTAATGAGCCCAAGATCCACAGGCAGCACAGCAGGATCCAGAACCAACAGGAAGGTCCCAAATATTCCCAGAATGGCCATATATTTATTGGAAGCAGGCCATACCCCTAAGAAAGCTCCCTTTCAACTGATCAGCTACTCAAAGCATATACATCAGATCTCATCATGGGAATGACCACACCACAACTGCTTAAACCACTCAGAATCATGGTCCAGCCAAGTTGACACACAACCTTAACTGTCGCAGGTAGCAGTAGAAATCCATAAAATATCAGTGTCAGTGGATCAAATACTCAGTCAAGGCTCTGGGTGATTGCATATTTGATACTTCTCTATAGTTTTGTCAAAATGAGACTTACAGGCAATCCCTAAATTAGGAATAAGTTCATTTCCTAAATCTGTCTTTAAATAGAATTTGTGCATAAGTAGGAGCACTTGGGTGTGGTTTGTATCTAACAACAGTTAGTCAAATGTTTATCTAGGTATATAGTATATGTTGTTGTTGTTGTTGTTATATAGTATATGTTGTTGTTGTTGTTGTTGTTGTTGTTATGTGCCGTCAAATCGGACCCGACTCATAGCGACCCCTCCTTGAGTTTCCGAGGCAGTATCACTACAGAAGTAGATTGCCCCATCTTCCTTCCGAGGAGTGACTGGTGGGTTTGAACCTCCAGCCTTCTGGTTAGCAGTCAAGTGCCTTTGCCACTATGCTACCGGAGCTCCCGTATAGTGTATAGTGTACCTTTTTAGGAGCTCTGGTGGTGTAGTGGTTAAGGCATTTGACTGCTAACCAGAAGCCTAGAAGATCAAACCCACCAGCCACTCCTCGGAAGGTGGGGCAATCTACTTCCGTAGAGATACTGTCTTGGAAACCCAAGGAGGGGTCTCTGTGAGTTGGGATCAACTCAATGGCAGTGAGTTTGGTTTTTTGGGGTTTGTATCTTTCTGTGTGTAAAAATATTAAAACACTTCCAGATATACTAAAACACCTTTAACATAATAATAGAGTAATAATGATATTATTTTTATATGCACCACCTGTTTGTTATTATGAACCATTATGTGTCCCTCAAATTTTTAATATAATAGGCTTTGCAGGGGTTAGTTCATAACTGTGGGTTGTACGTAAGTTTGACGTTCATAACCCAGGGACTGCCTATATGAGGAAGCTGGTCAGTTGGGCTTTTTGGCTAGACAAAAGTGGTGAAAGAAAGGATGAGCTCAGAGATTCAGAGTCACAGCTCAAGTGCTGCATACAAGACCTGAAAGTTGCTACTTGTGCCCTGAAAGAAAGCCTTATCTCTTATAGTAAAGAGCTGTTATTGCTGAAAACCAAACCCAGAGTTTAATATAAGAGTGGCTAAATTATACCACCAATTGAATTCCCAACCTCAAATGGTATCTGAAAGGAAAGTGAAGACATTGATTGGGAGGAAATGGGATCCTGAAACTTGGGATGGGGGCATATAGGCAGATAATCAGGAAACTGGGGGACATTGAGTCCCTAAATTCCATTGAATCACTCCTGCCAACACTACCAGTCCTCTTACTCTAGTCTGAAGAGATTATTCCATTTTTGTCTGCTTAGCTGCCCTCCCCAGTAAAAAGATTATCCTTTCTCCCTCAAATGTACCTGAAGAGTCTTTGTCTGACATCACCTGGGGCAGCAGCTGGGGCATCACCTGAGGTATATGCCTTACAAGATGTTGAGTGTCCCTGGGACCTACCCCCACCACCCAGTTTTGCTTCTAGACCTGTAACTAGACTTAAGTCCCCAAGAGGTGAAGTATGGACTGTGACCAAGGAGGAAGTACACTATACCCCAAAAGAACTGCTTGATTTTTCTGATACATACAAACATAAACCTGGGGAATATGTATGGGAATGGCTATTAATATTAAAGTTGTGGGATAATGGGACAAGAAACATAAAGTTGAATTAATCTGAGTTTAATGATATAGGTCCACTAAGCACAGATTCAGAAGCTCTGATGGTACAATGGTTAAAGCATTTGGCTGTTAATCAAAAGGTCGCCAATTCAAACCCACCAGTTGCTCCATGGGAGAAAGATGAGGCAGTCTGCTTCTGTAAAGAGTTGTAGCCTTGGAAACTCTATTGGGCAATTCTACTCTGTCCTGTAGAGTCACTATGAGTCAAAATCAACTTGATGGCAGTGGGTTTAAGCATAGATTCTTCATTCAGTGTTTTGGCTCAAGAGGTTAGAAAATGATCTAATAGTTTATTGGTTGGTTCACTGAAGCATGTCGGTTAAGTGGTGACCTACACCAAAATCAAGTTGAAATGCCAGAGCTGTTTTAGTATACTGTAGAATAAAGTATCCAAAGGCTTAGGAAAATTGGCATGTTAGAGTGGATTTATCTGGTTGGGCCCACAGATCCACTCATGGAGTGCCCACAGGACACACCTTTGACCACAATGGTGAGGAACAAGTTTGTGCAGAGAGCTCTAGCATCCTTAAAGACTGGTATGATTTCTATTTTATATAAGTCAGATTTGACATGGGAACTGCCCAAACTATATTAAGACACCTAACTATAATGGGGCTATGGGAACTCTGGTAGCATAGTGGCTAAGGCACTTGACTGCTACCAGAGGCTGGCAGTTCAAACTCACCAGCCACTCCTCAGAAGAAAGATGGGGCAATCTACTGCCGTAGTGATACTGACTCAGAAACCCAAGGAGGGGTCGCTATGAGTCAGGTCCGACTCGACAGCAAACAACAACAACGACAATTGGACCTTCTGGTTGTAGGGACCAGTGGCAACAATTAATCAACAAAAAAAGGTGGGTGTGGTTACCATAACGGACAGCAGAGTCAAAGCAGTAATGAGAATAGTCTGACTCATGTGGACTTAAGGCATTGGCTACTTAGTCTTGATATCCCTCAGAGTGAAATAAATGAGAAATTTACTACGTATTTACTTGATCAGTACAAGTGGAAGAATTCTAGGTCAAGTGAATGACAGTCTAACTTGAATCATCAAAATAGAGAGTCACAGCCTCTCAGTAAATTCTCAGACTTGAGCCAGTTTTCAGACCCACAACCCCATGAACAAAGGGGAGGTTGGGTCCCCTTGAGGAAGAACCCCACTAAAGTGCCAAAAACTGACACTTACTGTTTCTCCTAACTTTCTCCAAAGGAATCGATGGCCTTTTATAAGATAGATTGTTCATTGGGGAAGAGGAAATACAGTAGTCCTTCCTTATCCATGCCTTTACTTTCTGGAGTTTCAGCATATGTATGTAGTCTGTCAACTGTGGTCTGAAACTGTTAAATGGGAAAATTCCAGAAATAAACCATTCATGAGCTTTAAATTGGATACCGTTTTGAGTAGTGCAATGAAATCTCATATCACCCCACTCCGTCCCTCTCAGGACGTGAATCATCCCTTTGTCTAGCATATCCATGCTGTATTCACCTGTTAGTCACTTTGTAGCCATCTTGGTTATCAGATCACTTGTCATGGTATCAAAGTACTTGTGCTCAAATAATGCTTATTTTGCTTAATGTTCTTTTTTATTATTAGTTGTTATTAATCTCTTACTGTGGCTAATTTATAAATTAAACTTTATCATGGTTATCTATGTATATAAAAAGCCTATTATTTATAGGGTTGGATACTATCCACAATGTCAGCCATCCACTGGGGGTCTTGGAACATATCCACCGCAGATAATGGGGGACTACTGTAACCAGACTTTTCAGAGATTGTCTAGACACTGACTCTGAACTGACACTAATTCTAGGAGACCCAAAATGTCACTGTGGCCCACCAGTCAGTAGGGGCATATGGACATCAGGTTATTAATGGAGTCTTATCTCTAGTCCATCTCACAGTAGGTCTGGTGAGGCCCTGAACAACTAAAAAGGAGGCACAACACCTGGTAGACCTCATTGAATTTTGGAGCCAATATATTCATCGTTTGGTTGTGTTACTCTGACCTACTTATCAAGTTACTCAGAAAGCTGTTAGTTTTGAGTG